CCTAGCACCAATTTAACCACTCCTAAGCAAAATGTCCTCCCTCCGTCCTCTTGCTCTACCGTGAAAGCAAAACTCCACCTGGCAAAAATCATTCCCTGTAATCAAAAATAGTACTTTCTAAACCATAAATCCCCCCAGCAATAATCTGTCCTCCAAGCAGGACCCCAAACAAGCACATACTTCCCAGCAAAAATCTCACCCCCACCAAGCAAACCCACAAAAATGACCCCGCACAAGCCAAAGCTCTCTTACTCTTAAGCAAACTTCTCTCCCGCAGCAAAACCCATTCCTCATTTGAAAAATACTCACCAGACCTCAGCGGGAGAGAGGCGTCCAACATTCATTGAGGGGAAGTGACGAATCGGAGCCAAAGAGGTGCCTGAGAGAACTTCTGCTCTGCACCATTTTCTGGGGTCTCTATGGGCACTTTACCACTATACAGGTGCTCTTGCATTGCCATGGGTAACACCATGTTGTGTTACCCATGGCAATGGCAGGTATGACTACATATTGATAAAAGCAAACAGCACTATGGAGTACATCGGTGAACCAATAGGTATAATGGGGGGTTTCAAGGTGTCAATGAAACACTATGAATTTCCATTAAAACATTTTTTTTTTAAATACTACTCATTAAAATATATGCTTAGACTTAAAACCAACAATTTCATATGTCTATTTCATATGCTTTCGTATTGGCACATGTAGATCATGATACAGTTCTTGTATATACAAGTCCCTTGCAGTCATTGACTTCTTAAAATTGATTGTCTTGATTGGCTGTGGTTCAACGTGTTTTGCTGTCATGCTTCATTAGGAAGCACAAGAGAACATGAATAATTACCATATAACATATAATTTATTTATATATTCATATTGCATATTGCATATTTCATATACTAGGCAATTATCTGAGAAATCACACAGTTCATAGCATATGAAATACCCATACAGTACACATGAAAGGAGGAACCCGGCTCACCAGCGGGGACCCACCTGGGAAGGCAACCAACATACAACTATAATATTCAAATATGAGATAAGGAATACAGGGTTAAATTTAATTATCATATACACAGAAATATTATTTAATTGACACCTTAAAAGCCCCAATTATACCTATTGGTTCACTGATGTAGTAACTTTTACGGGGTGTGGTGAAAATGTGTGTTGTTATCCATGTACCCAAATATATTTATTTGAGCACCAAGGAGAAGGAGTCCCCGATGCCCAGGCCCAGTAATGCTCATGCTTAGAAATGATCAAAGATGTGGGAAAAAAGAGAGGGTGAGAGCAGGATACACCCACATCCAGACCTTCCAACTGTACAGCTTTTCCTGTATGGGAACAGTTTTAAACATTTGTTCCCAGGACATGCACTGGACTTTAAAGGTGAAGAAAGATTGTATTCTAAAAGTTGTTCCTTTTTTACCCCTTATTCATCTTTGGTTAACCCTAATTATTTCTAATTAACTCCTTCCTCCTTCAAGTGAGCATGACCCTTCTTTTCATCAGCTTTATAAAGGTCAAATCCACAAGAAAAAGATCCGTCATACTGGAAATGTTTTGCTGGTTACCAGTGTGGTTTAGTTTGTCTTTGGCGTCACTGAGCAATTTGTACTACAATCCTTTTAAAGCATGAAAATAAAAATCTATCAAGGGTGCATTTAAATGAAACTGATTGTAATATAAATCATAATTCGTCATATTGCAAAATGGTAAATGTGGATAGAACCATTGAAATAAATTGGCAGTTTGGCACAAATATGATTTAAGAATTTCAATCAAACCTATAAAAATGTAAAGTTGTTATGTGTGACCAGCTTAAGGGTTTAAAGGGAGAGATTGCTCACCAAGAACAATACGCATTGGTACATTTTTCAGGTGTTTTCTACACATAATTTTATATGGTCATGTGTGGCCAGGCTAAGTCCATAGGCCACCTCTTGATGGGAATGCACAGATAGCTCACCAGCACTCAATGGTTCAATATGCAAATAACATTTATATTATGGCAAACTGACGTCACATAAGTCAATAAGTCTTGATACAGATGAAGATCACCAGCACTCGATGAATACTTATAGATTCTTGTTTGTATTTATTTGAAGAGGTCCCTCTTCAAATGAATACAAACAAGAATTTATAAGTATTCATCAATTGCTGTCGATCTTCATCTGTATCAAGACTTAGGATTGCACGGCGCCACCCGTGATCATCGCTGTGAGCACCACCATTTACTGTATGGTCCTAAACGCTGTAAGGAGTGCAGGGGATACATCTGGACATTGACATAAGTCAATAAGCCGTTGTTTCAGACCATACAAGGTCCCTTCCCCAAGGCGACACAGTAGAAGGTCACCATGTTGCCCTGAGGAAGGGACCCTGCCTGGCCCCCCGAAACATTGGCTTATTGACTTATGTGACATAATTTTCCATAAAATCAATTTTATTAGAATATTGAACCATTGACTGCTGGTGACCTATCTATGCTTTCCTGAAGTTCTGCATGGTGCCATCCATTGTGGTCACTATGAGCCCCTTCTCCATTACCATTGGTCACAGTGCTGTATGGTGCACAGCTGGCATCTACATCAATCTCGTGGACAGAACACTCAATCATCTTTGTTGTATGGACAATGCACAGAGGTCTCCGGAAACATGACACAAATCCTGACCACACCGACACAGTTCAAGCGTGGGTCATCACATGACAATGTTCAAGGGTCATTATTGCATGTCCTTTATAATTTATATACTTCAGATGATACTCCATACGCTCAGAAAATGGTAATGTTGTAACAAAACCAATTTGCACTTTGTGTCTCTGTTACTTTTTATATACAAGTGTCCTGCTATATGTTAAGTCAGAAGTGTGCACAGACTTCCTTGTGATCAGAGTTTTAAACATTTAAAGCGGTGAGGGCAGGAGGAAAGGTAAGCATCAACGTCCTTCTACAGGTATAGTTTCAATTTAAACATTGAGTTTGGTGCTGTAAGTAAACAAATGTGCCAGAGTCCGACAAACTATCCTTGTTTCCATTTATTGGTAAAATGCACAAACAGCCGGCAGTGACATTGCCAGGACTGCTTACGCGCTTCAGCTAAAAAGTCTTGATCAGACTTAAGATTAAGGCTGCTGAGCTGAAACATTTCAGTGGTTCTGGCAATGTCACTGTTTGTGGCTATTTGTGGATTTTACCAATAAATAGAAACAAGGAACTTTTGTCGGACTCCAGCACATGTGCTTACTTACCTGATCTGGATTGAAGTAGTATTGGCAGCGAGGTAGAGCCCTTTCTGTGCCTTTTATTTTTTTTTTTTAATCCAAGCATTTTTATTGGTGAGTGAACAAAACAAGTAACACGAGTAATAAGTATCATGCGATACAGAATGATAATGCACAATGAGCACATAAAGCGGACTCACGTGAGGGAGTTCCACAATCTTCGTGTATAGGGTAAAACATGTATAACATAAAAACAAATGGTTATGGAACATCCCAGATAGGGTTAGTGTGAGTAGATGGTAGTCATCCCCCATGGTAACAATCACTACAATACACATTGCCCCAGACATTGCAGTACACTAGTTAGTGGCAAACCGGTCAAGTAGAACATAATGACAAGGAAAGCAGGAAGGCATAGAGAAATTCTGGATAATAGGGGAGAAAGCATGGGTCCAGAAACAGGGCAGGAAGGAAGAAACCTGCAAATGGATCAAGATACAGGAGAAGGGCAGAAAGGTCAGCCAGAAAGAGAAGAGCCCGGGACCTCAGGGCCCCCCATGCGCCAGTCCCAGGCCTCAGATGGAACAGGAGGATTCCACCTCAGGTGTAGGTTCAGCCAATCGATCCTGAGGGGGCCTTGGGGACCATCGGGGTGAGATAGTCCTCAGATTCCCTGAGGAAGAGCCAAGGCCTCCAGGTGTCGAGGAATAGGTCCTCCGTGTTGTGCAGTGTAGAAGTCAGATCCTCTATACGGCATATATAGATCCAGAACTGAGCGATCACATACTGCTGAACGATCAGCTCACAGATTCCCCCTTCCCCTCTCTGTTCCCCCAGCGCTCATTGGAGGGACAAGGGAGGGGGTGGGCACAGTTGGCTCTGACTCTAGAGAGGCAGAGCCAGCTGTCAATTACGCAGCCGGGTGGATACCAACAATATTGTTGGGCTCTGCGCTGTCAGCCTATAGCGGGCTAAAGAGAACTGCATCCAAAAGGATGTTTTTTAGCAGGCCCAATGAAACAAATGGTAAACGCAGCTCAGTAGTTTGCACTTCTGTTTTGCAACACCGGGAATTTCAGTTCAAATACCAGCCAAGACAACATCTGCATGGAGTTTGCATGTTAATTGGCTCCTGTCTAAAATTGTCTATAGTATGTATGCGTGATAGGGACTTTAGATTGTAAGCTCCTTGAGGGCAGGGACTGATGTGTGCTTAATGTAAAGTGCTGCATATATTGTTGGCTCTATAGAAATGCTTACAATAGATAATAAACACAGAAAACACCTTTAATGAATTTTCTGGGCATTTTAATACATTTTCACAACATAAAATCTAATTTCTGGATGTCTTCCCCTCACTATACAGAACCCTTATAAAGTGCATGTGTTAATAAAGTGCAATGTGGACACTTCTACATATGCAAAGCTGACACTGCTGCATATGGATGGGTTTCAGTGGTTACACAGCCTCTAGGACAGGGGTGGGCCGTGGACCTCCAGCTGTTGTTGAACTACAAGTCCCATGAGGCATTGCAAGATCAGCAGTTACAGGCATGCCTCCCAGGGTCAGAGACATGTTGGAGTTTGTAGTTAAAGCACAGCTGGGTTTGCCCATCCCTGTTCTAGAAGTCCAGACTCCAGCTGTGCACACAGGCAATTTTATTCTGGTGAGGAACTACAAGTACCGGCATGCCCTGCCCAGCCCAGCTCAGCCACATCCGGTGTTTTTTCCCCGCCTCGTACTTCCTGCTGTCAAACTACATCCCAATCAGGCAGCAAATAGGGAAGCCCAAAACTGAACAGGCACTGCCCAGGGCAGCTTCGTGTAGGCCGATTCCAGACAGGCAGCGCAGAGGGCAGCCCCGTGAGGGTCCTTGGCCTGCCATGCCGCGCTGAGTGTTTGAATGCTGGAAGCGGCATCGACATGACAGAGATCGCTGAGAGACAGGTGAGAGCGGCTCGGCCCGGCCAGGCGGTGACGGGGAGAGGCGGCCGCGCCCTGGGGGCTCTTATATCTGGGGAAGGGGCAGATCACGTCACTCACCTCCGACGATACCGGAGCTGGGACTTGTAGTTCTACGGAAAGGGAGGCGGAGCAAAATCCTTCCCCTGGAGTGTCTTCTTCCTGTTCCCAAGTCGGGTACTGGCATTTGGGGATTTGCCCCTGTTATTTATTTAATGACTCCTTTGCCGCCAGACCATTCATTTTACACACAACATTTCCAGAAGATAAATGAGATAAATGTTCATTTACCATATTCTATGTATGTTATTTACCTATAAAAGCTTCCTTGGTTTAGATATCCCAAATCCTGAGGCTGCTGCTGGGTGCCGCCATCTTGGATATGATGTCAGCTGCCCCAAGCTGCTTAAGTGACACTTTGTATCGGGTAGACAACCTGGGAACCCCAGCTGTGGAACTACAAGTCCCACGAAGCCTTGCAAGACTGACAGCCACAGACATGACTCCCAGAGACGTAATGGTATTTGTAGGTTCACCACAGCTGGAGTGCCGAGCTTGTCAGTCCCGGCTGTATAGTATTTCGGTCCCTTAGCATCTACATTAAAAGAACAATGAGGGGAGTGATTTTCACTCAACCTCATAGTTTGAGCCGACGTGTGACAATGAAACTGTCACAAGTGGGCTCAATAGATGGGGAAGTAAGTGAACACATACCGTCGCTCGCTCACTTCTCGATCATCTCCTTGCAGAGAGATGTGACTGTCGCTCACGGCTCCCTGCAGGGATCCCCCACCACGCTCCGATCCTTCAGCGCTGACTGGAGGAACAGACGGGGGAGGGGGCGGGTACAGCTAGCTCTGCCTCTAGATAGGCAGAGCCAGCTGTTACTCACGCAACTGGGTGGATCGCGACAGTAATGTCGGGATCCGTCCCGGCTGCCTGCGGCGGTCTCAGTATACCGTGAGCTGTAGCTCATGTCATACTGAGCTTTGGGTCACTGGAGGACGCTAGTATATGTCCTCACGTGACCCTTAAGAGAACTATGGGGAAAAACACTTACCCCATAGTTCTCCTTTTAAAGGCTATGTAGAGAGGGGAGGAAGAGCTGGGCCAGCACTGGCAGTAATTAGACAATCCCAGATGAGGAGAGAGCTATGCCATGCAAGGGAGGAGATGTGCTAGAATACTAATAGAGGCTGATAATGATGCTGCAGGAGGCAGAGCATTGCACCTGCAGTCCACTGATTGCAATTTTAATGCTTTACTGACTCCCGTGCAAAAAACTAATAAATGCATATTTTTTTTTTCTTTATCAGAGCATTTATTATTTTTCTGGAATTATCCTTTACAGCAGACCTATGCCTTGTCCACGAAGCAGCAAGTGTAGTTTCCTCCCAACCGCACTCGCTCCTCTTCTCCACCGCTTCAACCAGCCTCTGGGGATGAGGAGAGGAAGCTCTGTACAAATCTGAGCTGATCCAGCCTGGCTTTGCGTTAAAGTTTGCTCCCTGCGTAGGATCATTGAACTCACCTCTATCCTGTTCAGAACTTGTCATGTAAATAATCTCTTTGCTGTATTTGTAGAGTTTGTGTTACATTGTGTTCTAATGATCTTCTTCTCGTTGTAGGTGTTAAAATGGAGAGTGGCGACCAGTTTTGCCTGGTCAGTCATATTGCTACCTCTGAGCTGTGTGGCCTTCATAGCTGTCAGCAGGCTCAACATCCTTCACCCTATACAGTGGCTTACAGGTGAGAGTTCTGAGGGTAGAATGTTATACTTGCTGTTTATCAGATGGGGAAAGATAGATGATGGGGTGTAATCCCCGCTCTGTCTGCTACCTATAGCACCCTGCCTATTTTCATGGTCCCTCTGCAGTCTGCTCAGTGGGTTGTAATCCCCGCTCTGTCTGCTACCTATAGCACGGTGCCTGTTTTCATGGTCCCTGTGTAATCCCCTCTCTGTCTGCTACCTATAGCACCTTGTCTGTTTTCATGGTCCCTCTGCAGTCTGCTCAGTGGGTTGTAATCCCTGCTCTGTCTGCTACCTATAGCACGGTGCCTGTTTTCATGGTCCCTCTGCAGTCTGCTCAGTGGGTTGTAATCCCCGCTCTGTCTGCTACCTATAGCACGGTGCCTGTTTTCATGGTCCCTCTGCAGTCTGCTCAGTGGGGTGTAATCCCCGCTCTGTCTGCTACCTATAGCACGGTGCCTGTTTTCATGGTCCCTGTGTAATCCCCTCTCTGTCTGCTACCTATAGCACGGTGCCTGTTTTAATGGTACTTGTGTAATCCCCGCTCTGTCTGCTACCTATAGCACCTTGCCTGTTTTCATGGTCCCTGTGTAATCCCCTCACTGTCTGCTACCTATAGCACGGTGCCTGTTTTCATGGTCCCTGTGTAATCCCCTCACTGTCTGCTACCTATAGCACGGTGCCTGTTTTCATGGTCCCTGTGTAATCCCCTCACTGTCTGCTACCTATAGCACGGTGCCTGTTTTCATGGTCCCTGTGTAATCCCCTCACTGTCTGCTACCTATAGCACGGTGCCTGTTTTCATGGTCCCTGTGTAATCCCCTCACTGTCTGCTACCTATAGCACGGTGCCTGTTTTCATGGTCCCTGTGTAATCCCCTCACTGTCTGCTACCTATAGCACGGTGCCTGTTTTCATGGTCCCTGTGTAATCCCCTCACTGTCTGCTACCTATAGCACGGTGCCTGTTTTCATGGTCCCTGTGTAATCCCCTCTCTGTCTGCTGCCTATAGCACTGTGCCTGTTTTCATGGTCCCTCTGCAGTCTGCTCAGTGGGGTGTAATCCCCGCTCTGTCTGCTTCCTATAGCACCTTGCCTGTTTTCATGGTCCTTGTGTAATCTGAACAAACATAGGAAATGGACGTTCAACCCCCTTTTTGGGGAGGCAATGTGTAACTCCAGAATGGCCAGTGGGTTTTGGGGACTAAGCGGTCCCCTTTTGTATGGTCTTATGGTGAAGAAAGTTCTTTGACAAACACTGCACTAGGGTAGGATGCTTTATGGGAACTTCTAAGCATCCATGTCCTTGCTTAGTCAGGTAGCTGGTCAGACCGCCTAGGTCAGGGTTAGCCAAACTCCAGCTGTCGAGGAACTACAAATCCCATGAGGCATTGCAAGATTCTCACAGACATGACTCCTGAAGAGGGATGCATCGTGGGATTTGTAGTTTCACCACAGCTGGAGGGCTGGAGTTTGGCTACCCCTGGCCTAGGTCTTTATACTTGTCCGGGGTGTTGCCAGGAGCCTCTCCTCTTCCTGTTTTATATGCAGATTGAGGTTACAGGTCCAGGCGTTGTAGTGGATGTTTGCAAGAGATTTCTCATGATGGTGGGTGTTTCAGCCTGCTGGAGAACAACAAATGCTTTGAAGGGAATCACACGTCCCTTCTTTCTTTTACCAGGTAAAGCACCTCCTATGTAGACAGTCATTGTCCACCTTCCAGGGCCAGGGTGCTTGTTCTGGTATAGACATGCCACTGTGTGATGCTAGACAGGTTCATACAGCCCCCGGACTTTGGTTTTGACAGCTTTCAAGACGGGTTAGATTTTTCGGCAGGCAAGAAGAAATGTAACGCCTTCCCTTTTGATAAAATGATTATTGAATCAGAATAATCTGTATGATTTGTCTTTTTCTGTCTTGCAGATTTACTGGGTGACGCTACCAGCAGTTCCACATTCTTTTGTCTGCTTCTGCTGTCTGTGCTGCAAGGGGTCCAATGTGCCTTCAATGTGAAGTCCTACTCAGGTGAGCTAATAAAGATTTAGAAAGGATTGGGCAGCTGCAGAAGAGCTAGATCCCAAACCAATGGCCTTTTCAGAAGGGCGCAGTTTAGGAGGACACATTTTATTAGGCTGGAACATCTCAGTTGCTGTGCTGATTAATATAATATGTGCTGACCAGGAAATGTCTATATTTTTAACTATTCCTTCAATAATTAACATGAACACTTTACTTCCTATTGCAGCAGAATCAGAACGCAACTTTATTTCTAGGGCAGATAAAAAATTGAGGGAAAATGTTTGGTTGCCCTGGGCAGCAGCTCAGTACATCTGACTTGGTCTTTTGGTCAGTGCACAGGTGTTCAATTTAGGATAGGATATAGGGTAAAGCAAATCTAGAATTGAAGTGCCACAGCGTTATACTGCATTCCAGATACAAGTTTATTCCAATGTAAAATCAAATGAAAACTATATACCCAGCCAATGCATCTTGGGGGGCTAAGCATTGAAAGATGGGAAATGGTGTATGTGGATTTGGTAGTGAAAATCAAGTTAATATTCTTAACCGATGTGTTCGTACAGAAACACATTCATCAGCTGCTGGTTGTTGTAGTCCTGGCCCTGCAGCCAGTCACCCTTTAAAATTACACACTCATTTTGTTGGGAAGGGGGAACTGTCTTATCTAAAAAGTTATGACCACTGCATGAATTTTGGTAAACCATTTCCTAATTCTGTTCTGAAGATATTAAAGCAGAACTCCAGGATGTGCAATAATGAAACCTTGCAGCAGGGCTACCCCCCTCACTGCAAGAATGAACTGCTCGTTCTGTCTAGGGGCAAAAATAAAGAAGAAATACTCACCCGATCCTTGGTCCCACCTCTCTGGTAGGCTTGTCCTCCCAGCCTCTCCTCCCTCTTGCTCTAGTGGTCTAAGGACATCATTACCTCTAAAACAGGCCTATTGGACGTGAAGATGCCGAGGGACATGCCGCAGTGGAAGCGGAGGGGAGATATGAGTGGTCACTGACAAAGGGCCGAGGATCGGGTGAGCAATTCTTCTTGTATATTTGCCCCTGGAGAAAAACAAGCACCTAACCCTTGCAGAGCATGGGTAGCCCCACTGCGAGAGTTAAGTTTTACAAATCCTGGAGATCTTCTTTAGGCCGTGTCAACACCATTCTTCTAATCTTTGTAAAGGCTGGGACTGGACATTTGTTACGTATAGCAAAGGCTGGGACTGGACATTGGAAATATATAGCATAGGCTGGGACTGGACATTTGTTACGTATAGAACAGGCTGGGACTGGACATTTGTTACGTATAGAACAGGCTGGGACTGGACATTGGAAATATATAGCAAAAGCTGGTTCTTGACATTTGCTGATCAATATACACAAATCTCATTCATTCAAATGGCTCCTGTCCTCTTTACAGTGGTGCCTACAATCCCTGGCTCCCGCCTCTCCCTGATCGGACAGATCCTGCTTCCACAACGAGTAATTCACTCATTTGTTCATTCCCTTATGGGAGTTTTGGTGTTTTGGTGCTGTACCGTCCTCAGCCGAGGTCCATACCATAGTCTGGCGGTTCCCTGTTGTAGTCCTGGCCCTGCAGCCAGTCACCCTTTAAAATTACACACTCATTTTGTTGGGAAGGGGGAACTGTCTTATCTAAAAAGTTATGACCACTGCATGAATTTTGGTAAACCATTTCCTAATTCTGTTCTGAAGATATTAAAGCAGAACTCCAGGATGTGCAATAATGAAACCTTGCAGCAGGGCTACCCCCCTCACTGCAAGAATGAACTGCTCGTTCTGTCTAGGGGCAAAAATAAAGAAGAAATACTCACCCGATCCTTGGTCCCACCTCTCTGGTAGGCTTGTCCTCCCAGCCTCTCCTCCCTCTTGCTCTAGTGGTCTAAGGACATCATTACCTCTAAAACAGGCCTATTGGACGTGAAGATGCCGAGGGACATGCCGCAGTGGAAGCGGAGGGGAGATATGAGTGGTCACTGACAAAGGGCCGAGGATCGGGTGAGCAATTCTTCTTGTATATTTGCCCCTGGAGAAAAACAAGCACCTAACCCTTGCAGAGCATGGGTAGCCCCACTGCGAGAGTTAAGTTTTACAAATCCTGGAGATCTTCTTTAGGCCGTGTCAACACCATTCTTCTAATCTTTGTAAAGGCTGGGACTGGACATTTGTTACGTATAGCAAAGGCTGGGACTGGACATTGGAAATATATAGCATAGGCTGGGACTGGACATTTGTTACGTATAGAACAGGCTGGGACTGGACATTTGTTACGTATAGAACAGGCTGGGACTGGACATTGGAAATATATAGCAAAAGCTGGTTCTTGACATTTGCTGATCAATATACACAAATCTCATTCATTCAAATGGCTCCTGTCCTCTTTACAGTGGTGCCTACAATCCCTGGCTCCCGCCTCTCCCTGATCGGACAGATCCTGCTTCCACAACGAGTAATTCACTCATTTGTTCATTCCCTTATGGGAGTTTTGGTGTTTTGGTGCTGTACCGTCCTCAGCCGAGGTCCATACCATAGTCTGGCGGTTCCCTGCAATGCCCATCCCAGGTGAGTACGTCTAGAACCAATCCCTGTAATGCACATAGTGAGGTGTGCCAGGATATGGTTTGTACTTATCATCTTTTCACTGATCTATTGTGTTTCTATGCTTTTCAATTAAGTGATAAAGGTGAAGTACCAAAGATGTGTCTGAATGAGCGTTACCTCTTCCTGCTGCTTACTGGAGCTTTCCTGGGTTATACTTACAGCTTGCTGTATTTCATCCACAACATGAACTACCTGTCTTTCCCTGTCATGCAGGTGAGTACAAGCAGCATATTTGTTAATGGGTTGCTACTATATTTATAAGCAGATGAAGGGAGATTGATTCACCTACTGGCTTCTCATTATTGGTGAGCTCTCGGCTGTAAATCTGGCACCCCCAGTAATTAAGGTGCTCCGGAACTAAACTATGGGCAGCCCATAAAGCCTATCCAGCTCTCCAGTGCAGGCATAGTGCTATGCTCTGCCAGCTCACAGGGAACCCTTGTAAATGGAGGCAGCAAGCTGGGCTGCTAAACTTACATGGTCTTCTTTCCAATTATTGGCAGTGGAGGTGCTTTAGAAATGGCTTTTGTATCATAATTTCTGTCCCACTTTCTTTTTTTGTCTTTGTCTATACCCTAGATTTTCCTTTTGTAGTATTAGACGCAGTAACATGTCTGGTTTTACTTGTATAATTGGTTGTATGTTTATTTCTCTCCTTTTTGAAGCAATTTAAATATCTTCAGTTCCGGAGGTTCCTGCCTTTACTTCTGCATTACAGCTGTGTCCAGTCCTTGTACATGGTTCGGAATTTTACTGCTGTCTACTTTTTCCTGGGTATGTCTATTGCCTGTTAGCCTGGTTTGATGTGGGTGCCCAAGCCAAAGTGATGTTCTAGGTAGAGATGGTTATGTGTTTTGGAGAGTGGGGTTAACGCTGAACTCCAGCCAAACCGCTAAATACACCAATAAACTACATGTGTTGGAGCTTTCATACCTACCAAAGGATTTGTATTCCTGTCCATCCAGTCCTGAGATTTACACAACCCCATCACACTGCAAAACCCTATATGGCTGGGCAGAGGACCCAAGTTTTTTTTTCCCTCTTCTACTTAAAGGTTTTGTCCCCAGACTAGCATTGACAGTGAATGGAGAAGCTGCAGAGTGATGAGCTTATCTCTCTGTCACTGTGCTGATTTGCGCTCTCCCAGTCTGAGCTCTGCTGTGCAGAGACTGGAAGAGGCTGACACCTAGTCAAATTCAGGTACTTGTACTGCTTGCATTTAAAGTGAAACTAAACTCGGGAGTTACATCTTAAAAATGCATTCAAGTACCTTAACTATTAACACAATCGTATCTGAATTGGTGCTGACACTGTCCTTCCTTCTGGAGGGTGGCTACTTTTCTTCCCCATGGTCCCTGTGTGTGTTGTAAAGTAGTCACCGCTCCAAGTTCACTCACGTGATGGACTACAATCTCATGTTTAGTTTACTAATTTGTATTGAGATTGTAGTCCATCACGGGAGCAAGCTTGGATCGGTGACTACTTTACAACACACACAGGGACCATGGGGAACAAAAGTAACCCCCCTCCAGAAGGAAGGACAGTGTCAGCCCGATCTACAGCCGAGTGATACACAAATAAGATATATTTTTCTTTTTTATTTAAGATTTAAAGGCGAACTATGGGGTTAAGGCTTTTCCCTTAGTTCTCCTTAGGGTAACGGGAGGGAACAAACTAGCGTCCTCCCGTCACCCTAAGCTCAGTATACCGCGAGCTAAGGCTCACGGTATACTGAGACGCCGCAGCGGATCCCGACAATTATGTCTGGATCGAGCCAGCTGTACCCGCCCCCTTCCCGTTTGATCCGCCAGTCAGCGCTGGCGGGGAGGGGGGAATCCAGCCCCTCCCCTGTCACGGCAGAGAGCCGTGACAGGATCGAGAGGTGAGCGAACGCCGGTATGTGTTCGCTCACCTCCCGATCTACTAAGCCGACCTGTGACAGTCTCATTGTCACAGGTCGGCTAGAACTAATGAGGTGAAACTATGAGTGAAAAGCACTTACCACATAGTTCTCCTTTTAACGCTTGAGCTTAGTGTCACTTTAATACATCATAAAAAGTATTTTTAAATGAATATAGAGCTGCATTCATTTGTGTTTTTTCTTTGTCTCAAGTTCAACATTGAGTGTAAAACTGATGACTCTGGGTCAGTTTTTTTCTTTTAAAAAGGAAACAATGATCCAACTGTTTGATGAAAATAATATACTAATACTTTTTTTTTTTTTTTTAGTCATTAAAAAATCAATCTCTCCCTTAACCTCATCTGTACAAAAGGGGATCTGTCATGACAGTGCTAACATGATCTTTTCTGTCTGATTTATATTACAAGTGTGGTTGTAAACAAGTGATTTTTGTTTTACCGCATGTACTGCATGGAGACTTGTGATGAGGTGTCCTCATTCACACTGCTGCGCATATACGCGCGTACTGCACCATATGCACCATATGCACCATATGCACCATATGCACCATATGCACCATATGCACCATATGCACCATATGCAAATAAATGGCTCCATACACATAGCTGCGTATTCAGCCGTTTATTTCCGTAGCGTATATATGCGCAAAAACAGAATGGAGCCGAGATGCGTCCAGGCAGCATATTTCACGCGCGTATGTGCGTACAGTTCATTAAGATTTCCATTAGGAATTATGCATTCTGGGAATGCAAATAGTGCACGCATATACGCTCGTATATACGCGCATAGACGCTCGTGTATATATACGCAATATACAATTTTGCTTGCGTTGTGTGTGAATGAGGCCTTAATATAATTGATATCTTGTGTAATATAGACAAAAGAACTCTGTATAAAATGCTGTTAGTAAGTTACTAACTCATCATAGTACATATGTACACATAGATTTGGGTAAATTTGATTTAACATAAGTATCTCCCGGCTATTATTTTTAGGTTCTATTCCACGGGCATGGTTTCAAGGCATCCTGAACTTGTATCTGGATCAGTGAGTATTTCTGGACTTGCTTTGAAAACCTCTTGGGTTTATTATTTGAATTGTGAATTGCTCATAAGGCTTGTGCTTCTGTTTTTCTTCTTTAAACAGACAGTTACCACCACTTGATTCTCTGCTTGGGCTCCTGGATTTCTCGTTATTTTACCAGATCTGGTTGTGTGGTACTTTCCTGCTGGTCACCTGGCACATTGTCTGGTTACTATTCCAGATCCACACAACAGAGGTAAGTGCCAGGACTGTCATCATGTTTCATTGGGTAGTTAGTAGAGATGCAGTATGCGCTAGCACTGTTTGTTCATATGGAGGCAATCACTTGAGCATAATTTCCCCAGTCATCTTCCAGGACAGGGGCATAATTTTTTATTGTGCTGACATATTCCACTGCACCTTGCATCCATAGTCTTTTTATCCTTGTACATGAAGAAACTTACTGCCTATGCTGCAGTCATAAGGCCAATGTGCTAACTAAAGCCAACTGATCGAGAGGTGAGCGAACGCCGGTATGTGTTCGCTCACCTCCCGATCTACTAAGCCGACCTGTGACAGTCTCATTGTCACAGGTCGGCTAGAACTAATGAGGGGAAACTATGAGTGAAAAGCACTTA